CTGTTTGCTTGGCGGATTGGTGTAATGCATCCTCTTTGGTTGGAGTCTGAGTTTGCACCAAACCAGAAAGTGATCCGTGTCACAGTCAGCACTCTGAAAGGACTGCGTCATGAGCACGTTTCTCAGGTATCTGTGTCTAGTGAGGATCAAATTTAGCTGATGACTGTAGTTGTAAAGAAAAGAAAAAGAAGAAAAAAAAACTGTCAAGTTATAGTAGCAACAAACGTCTGCAATAGATTTCTTCTGTCTCTCGACCGCAACACTTGTAGCCAAATCACAGTTCAAACGGTAGTCCATCGTAACAGGCAACGTAGAAATGACAAAATGGGGTCACACATCCACCCAGCAAAAATGTGTGTTTGTCCACCAAGCTCAGAAAATCTAATTTGCATAAGCGAAAAACAACAGCTTTTGTTCACCGAGAGATCTTTTTGATTGGTCACGCCATTCAGGGGAGGAAAGAACATTAGTATAGATTCTGGTCCTTAAAGTAGGTTTTTGCTAACTACTTTTTGGTAATTTTTCTTTGGCAGAATGCACACAAAACACAAACTTTTTTTCGAGGTAGCTGATTATCTCTTTCACTACAATGCCAGTGCTTAGAGTGGAGGTGTCACTTTGTGCTGGGCTTTGACCTGAAAGTAATGTGTTAGTGATGGATAGCTCGTGAAGCACACAGAGTTTGAGCAGTTGTTGGTCAGTATCATTCAATTCACAGACTTCATGCTGTCCCAGACAACTAGGCCATGAATCATGATCAGCACCCATTCTGGCATTGAGGTCGTCAAGTATTAACAATTGTTCCTCTTTCGGAATGGTCTGTATCTTTGATAACTGATGTCATATTTGACATCTTGTGAAATGCATAAGGTTGGAGCATAAGTGTTGACAAGCGGTATGCAGTCAAAGCGAGTAGATTCGCTCTGATCCATTCTTGTTGAGTTTCACCATTCCAAGTTTTTTCACAACAAAGCCGATACCGTGCTCTCTGATCTCATCTTTGGCTTATCTCCACCAGCAGAAAGTATACTCTATCTTACGAAAGGTCCCTGACTCTGGAAGCCGTGTTTCTTGATGCACGGTCCACTCAAAACCAAAGTAGTTCATTGTTATTCATTGCTGTTTTGTGGGTGTTGTTATCTTGTGAAGATCATCTGATAGACCAGTTGTTATAGTCCATACATCCCAACATCCAATTCTGAATGTTGTTTTTTTATTATTAATATTCCTTGTTTTGTTTGGTGCAGTGTTTTCAAACCAGGATTCAGGATACTTGTATCCCTAAGCTCCACACACCCAGTAAAGCAGGAGGAATATGGTGGAACATCGACTGCAACATATTCTCTATAAGAATAAAGAGGACTGAAGTGATTGCAACAGTTACAGAGGAATCTCTTTATTGGACATCTTCGAGAAGGTCTTTGACTGCATGGTCCTCGGCAGGCTACAGAAGCTCGCTGAAAGGGTAGATTCTGAATTCCAGTGTGATTTCAGGTCAGAGAGTTCCATGACTGACATGATCTTCTCCCTTCGACAACTACAGGAGAATAGAGACAACCACTGTACATTGCCTTCATCAACCTCACAAAAACATTCAATCTTGTGAGTATGGACGGCTTGTTCAAGATATTTGACAGGATCGGTTGTCCTCCGAGACTCCTCAAGATTTTCCAGTTGTTTCATGTGGATATGAAGGGCATTGTACAATTTGGCAACTCTTATTCAGAGGCTTTCATTATCTACAGTGGTGTGAAGCAGGGTTGTGTTCTTATCCAGCATCTTTTTCACAATCATGCTGACATGTGTGTTCGAGGTTTCAACTGAGGTGTCTACTTTCACACAAGAACTGTTAAAGGGGTGGTTTGAACCTGCACTTTGTTAGAGAAAACTGGTTAGAAATGATGAAGGTTGAAACTAAGGTCAATTTTACTATGTTGAACAAAAGTGTATAAGTAATATATATATATATATATATATATATATATATATATATATATATATATATACACTTTTGTTCAACATAGTAAAATTGACATTAGTTTCAACCTTCATCATTTCTAACCAGTTTCTCACTTGGCATCAACATAATGGAGAGTCACCAATGGCAGATATATCAAGGTCTAAGTGCTGATGAACAAGAAAGCCCTTATGAAAACCAAGCAGTCACTGGTGTGGAATCCACCAGATTCATGTACATTCAAATTTTATCCAATGGCAAGCTGAAGTTAAACTGAACTTTGCTTTACCTGCTATGATTTGGCTTATCAGAGTCTGTGATTGGATAGAATTAAGATGGATCCCCATCATAAAACTACCAGTAAAATTTTGCAATGATTACAGTCATTGGCTAGAACAGACACCGCCCTTCTTGATGAACAAGGAGACATAAATATAATTGGCCCCAACCAAAGTTTACATTAGAACTTAAATTTAACTGTATGAGCCAAGAAATGTTTATATACCCAGTTCCAAGCTAAGATGTTAGTTGTAGTTTATGTTGACCTGTTGCCTGTCTGTACTCCTAACATATCCCTGCTATTACTGATAAAGTCAGTATAAATAAAATAACATATTGACAGTGATGTATATAAAATTCAAGACCCAACCAACATTATACATTGTAACACCAAATAGAGCTGGAATCACACTAAATATTGTCAAGAATGGATTCAATAAAATACAAACCAATGGTGGCCAAAGAGAGCCCTGGCAAAGCAAAAGCACTGTAAAGGTCTTAATTTTACTCAATTCATCTGTATCTGTTAGATATATATCTGGGAGAGATCCAAAAGCAGAAATTTGACAGGAAGCCAATTATCAAGGCTCTTTCTAAAATAAGATTTACTCCATTGTCAGGTAGCTCTTCAATACCACTTGAGCAAAATTACACAGATTTTGACATGAAAATTTTTTTGACAAACTCTTATTTCTGGTTTACAATAGAGAAAGTTTTCCTAATCAAAGCATTTTGCAATAATTGGAAAAGGTAATAATCGATTAGTGCACAGTCAGGTGAATATGGTAAATGGGATAAAACAGACCAACTGAATTCTAAAATTTTTCCCTGCATTATTTCTGCTGCATGTGTCCTTGAATTGTTATGGTGGTGAACAACATTTTTCTTTTAATCTACTCTATATGCTGCCACTGTTGCTCAAAAGTTAAGGTATGTCCCATGTACTCTAAATTTATTCTTAACTGCAAGGTATGATTAATAATTAGGATGATACATTCATCAATACAATTCCCAAAAATGGAAATTACTTATGACTCAACCCAATACAATGAATAATCCAAATTAGCTTCTCTCTTTTCTATTAATGAACATACCAAACACTTGTGATAGCATACAATTGTTTTGGCCAACTAACAGATACAGTTTACTAGAACATTATATTAGAGTTTATCAAAGTTTTAAGCCTAATATTGCATAAATTATCTCTGCTTGCATTTTTTTAACACCAGTGGTAGCAGTGTTAACAAATATAGCCCTTGGAAACTATATGCTTGTCAAAATAAGCACTAATATATCTGAAAAATCTCAATATTTTAATGTTGAATATTCTTTGATGTTGTTAACCCCTTTACCAGTTCCAACATCTACAACTAAAAGAATTTAGTCTGCTGTATAAAACATATACATATATATGTATTCTATTTTTATTCTAGATTTTTTTGCATAAATGCAGGTATTCCCCAGGGTTCTATCCTTGGACCTAGTTTCTAATTTTCAGAAATGACATTCCTGATGTGATCAGTTCTCAGTTCGGTATCTATGCTGATGACACAATTGTCTTAATAGTATCTGGTTGGTTTGATGTGGTCAAATTGGCAGCTGATTTCAAAAATGACTTACAATCTGTTGTTAAATGGGGCAAGCAGTGGCTTGTTAATTTTAATGCCTCCAAAATGACACTGCTCTCTTTAATCATCTGAGAGAACACTTTTTACCTTCCATCAGCATGGCTGATACTAACCTCCAGGAGAGTGACTTGTTGCACCTTCTCTAAACTAACATTTTCAGCTGACATGAAGTGGAAAAATTATATTGAATCATTTGCTAAGTTTGCAGTCTAATGCTAGACAACTTTTCTTGTCAGAATCTATCTTACATATTTATAAATCTACCATTCGTCCTTGCTATATATTTAAAAATTCTTAATAAAATCTAACAAATCTGCAATGTCAGTGGTCCTGATCTGACATTTCAGCTTCAGTCCCTTTTCCACCACCATAATGTAGTTTCCCTGTGCCTTTTCTATAAATACTTTCATGGTAATTGTTCTGTTGAACTTTCCGCTATAGTACTTAGACTTTATGAATATAAGCACAGTACTACACTGGCATCATTTTACAGTTGAAATGGCTCGATGTAACCATAAGTTCTATGCTAACAGTTTCTTCTATCACACTTCTCGCTTGTGGAACTTTCTTCTGACTTCTTGCTTCTTAGTCAACTTTGATCTTCAAAAATTTAAATGTAATGTCAATTATTATTTGCTTAATTCTTGTTCTTTTATTGTCCTCTCTCCTTAATAATAGTTTTTCTCATATTCTCTAACAGTCAGTAACCCCTTGTGTCTTGGTGGCTTTATTGCTTTGCTTGGGGTGAAATGATTAAAAAAAAAATATCTGTACACATATACGCATTATTTACATTTCATTTTGAGATATACAGGAATAATAAGCATTAATAACAGAATACATGTATATATAAATTTAACATCTTGAAATTCAACATGAACTTTATTCTGCAAATATACAACAATAATTACAAAGTAATTCCAGAAAAAAATAATGAAAAAGAGTGGAACTCTTGTTATGTATTCGTCAACATATCATATGTGCTCATCTGAGTTAAGAGAAATAACAAATTGATAGAGTGAAAACAAATAAATGAAATGAAATTAGCTTATAAATTGTTTTCCTTCAATGATGCCCATAATGGCTGGAGATGTTCACAGCTTCCATACCACTGAGCGAGATTCATCTGTCATGAATTACTTCTTACTTTTCTGATCAACAAGAAATGTTTTCCCTTTTGTGGGCTGAAAGAAAAAAAAAAGATAAAGAAAGAATATATCCAAGTTAAAGAAGTATATATATTCATTTCATTTATTAAAATAAAAGTGTGAAACTTAAAAGTACAGATATTATTCAATTTGTTTATAATCATTTTATCAAGACATAATGCATTTAAGCAAAAGAATTTAATAAACAAAAACTTTACATGACGTGTCAGTGTTGGAAATGACAAAATAGTACTTGAAATAATCTTTAGTTTCTGTTTGAATTTCTGGGATGAAGTATTTACTTTCAAACTAATGCCCTCGTTATCCCAATGTTTCAGCTGTTGTGCCTTCTCGTCTCCTTCGAGTGTCTGTCAATTTGAGTAACATTAAGGAAAATTCAAACTAAACATTTTATTTAATATTGTTCTCATTCCACTGTCCATGTCTAGGGATAGATATTTCATCTTGTTCTCTTTTTAGTTCTGCTCAGTTAATGCTCACCCTGTTTCCCCTTTGTCTAAGTCTGTACAGCCCCAGCTGGTAATTGTGAGTTAAATCCCTGAGCAGTAATAATTAAGAACAAAACAAGATATCCCTAGACAAGGACAGTGAAATGAGAACAATCTCCTTCCATAGATTATATAAAGGGCTCAATTCAAAATTCCTTGATGGCTACTCAGACTGATAGACAACTTAAGTTGGCTGGAGGACATGATGGCTGAAATGTTGTCATAATAACAACAAAGATGAGGATACTAGTCCAAATGTAAACAGTATAAATCATTTTTAGTTTCTCTCGAATTAAACAAGAACGTATCTCTTAAAACCATGCACTCCTTCTAAATTCTATTTGAGATTTTTAAGACAAAATCTAGTTCTATATATTCCAAATAGCATCCTTCTATACAAAGTAAGCAATTCCACTTTAAGGAAATTTACATTTCCATACAGAATTCACATTCATCTCATCTCTTAAAAAAAAAAAATAACAAGACTTAACATTCTTCATAGAGTCAACCATATTCTACAATATGTCCAAACAAATCAAAATCATAAAAATCTAATCATTACTTACAGGTAATATTTTAAAAGAACAAGTGAGATCTTCGTCAATGATCAACACAGCAGCAGCATTATCAAATTCTCCACAGTAATTTGGTGCACTGAACAATGTCACCAACTAAAATGCAAAATTAAATAATACAATGCAGACATCATTTTCCATGAATTTCAACAGTGAACATATTAGATTTTAAAGCAGCAATTTTCGTAATTGATAGACTTTGCTTATTGAAATCCTACAAACCCTTTCTCATAGAGAAAACATTGCAAGCCGCTTACTGCTCTATTGTTATTTCCATGGAACGTTTTCAGACAAACTACATTCCTTAGTTCCACTAGTTCTAACCCTCATCTCTAAGACCCGCTATGCCATGTACAGTGTAGTGAACCACCCTGATTCCCTTTGTATTCTACTGGTTAGATGAAAGTTCCACTCATGCAGCTTCTTCCCACAAACTGCTGCTTTGCAGTACCAACTCCCAAGATGATGTTTCCCCGATCACTACAATTTTCAAGTCTAAGGTTAACCATTGTCTTCCTCCATACATCCCCATAAACTGCACGTCTTATCCTGTAACCCTCTACCTTGAGTTGCTCTTGGTCCCTGTACAGTAGGGCAGGTTGATTTTTTTGCACTCAATTTGAAAGTTGGAGTTTGACGTGATAAATAATGACACAAAATATTTTTTTCTAATTCTTTACCATTTTTTGAGGAAACCAGTTTGAAGATTTCATTTAGGCTCAAAATCATAGCATTGCATTTTCATTCTGGTGATCAATGAAAGCCTTATAGCACACCTTCATAAAATTTACAATTTTTCTGAAGCTTAACAAATTTTTATGGATAAAATGCATGGCACAAGCACATTATTACTAAATCATTATGCCATCAAATAAGACCTTCATTTGCTTTAAAGGTAAATTCTGCTGAACAATTTAGTTATATTATGAAGTAATATATTATATAGTGCAGTAGTTTTAGTGCCATTTTATTAAACAATGCAAATTTAAAACATTTTGTCTTATAATTTGTGCCCAGCAGTATTATGGTATTTCAGGATTCCCACAGATCTGTGTAAAGAAATTCCATAACTTTTCCAGGACTATGTTAAGAAGTTTCAAGGACTGAAACTGATGCGCATGCACACACACAAAGTGAATGGTCATAAATTTCAAAAGCACAAACTTTGTGATTTATCTTTTAATAGTTTGACAGATGAGATATTCAAAAAAAAAAGCTACAGCTGGTTCCAATAATCCATGTCACATGGATCAGTTAAAAGCAGTGAAGAAATCCAAGTGTTGAAGTCTAAAACACAACTGAATGCAGACCTTGTTATGTTACACATTTTGTGTAGCATTCTATACAGTTTGGAGTTCTACTACACTTTTGAATTTTTAAGAAAATTTTGAATTACACACTTTAATTCTTACTACTACACATTTCAGCTATCTGGACTACTCATGGTTTGTGAATGTCCCAAAAATTCTTGACTGCTGCACATTCCCTGTGAAGTTAAGCATAATAGTTTTAATGAACAAAACTACAAATAGAAGTTTCACAAAAAGATTACACATTTAAGCTATCCCTACTACTCATGGCTTTTGTTGTACATGGCACAGAACAGAATGATGTTAAGTTTTTTCAGTTCATCTAATTTAGCATTCAGCTCCTCTTCTAACTTTGATATCTCTGGATTTGTCTTTTGCAGATCTTTGCATGGCATTGGATTTTGCAATAAGTGTGAAGTTCTGAGTCAGCTCAGCTTTCTCTGCATGGCTGTCAGCTGACTTGAGCAAATCTTGCTTTCAACTTTCAAGCTTGGGTTTTTTGGTCTTTAGTTCTTCAATTTCCATAAGCGTGGATTTCCATTTTTGTCCAGCTGCTTCTTCCTGCATTTTTTCCTTCTCTGCCTCAAGGTATTGGTTGTAAGCTGTTCTGGCATTGGAAGCACTGCCTTAGTCATAGGAACAATCCCAGTACCCCCAACTATGGCCAAATAGCCCATGATAATGCACTGTGCAACCAGAGCATACTGTTTCATATTGTCAGTGAAAATTTCTTTGATTGAGAAAACTTCTCTCCAGAGGCCTGTTCATGAGAGAGTACCAGCAAGCATCTTTCAAAAGTTTTTAATATTCTTTGTTGCTAGACAAAGAAGAGTAGAACAAAGTGTCCAGTCTTCTTGCTTGCTGAAATTTGCAAAAGAAATATTTCCAGCAGCCTCCTCCTCAAACTCTTTGGACTGACTGATGATGTCATCACAATCAGACTTGCTGACTTGTTTCTTGTCTATCATGTGGGAAAAACATTTTTATAGGCTGTCTCCTGTGGCAATGTTTTTTCACAAATGGATTCAGGGTTCATTCATGCAAGTGACCTTACAAGAGGGTATCTAAGGGGAGAATTTGCCAGAGGTTTCTCAATGATGGTGAAGAACATTGTCTTTGTTGCAAGTCTGCATGCAAACAGATCTTTTGTTGACATTTCTTTTTTTGAATAAATTTTGCATAGCCCTGTCTGCCAGAAATCCACACTTGATCTTTGCAGCATCTTTATGCATGTTTGCGTTCGACGAAATTCTTACAAATTCATTCAGTTTTAAAAATGTAATTATCTATTCAGTGTGCTCTTCCTTTACAAATATTCTTAACCCCTTCCTGCCAATTATTTTGGGAAAAACGTTTCATTTTAAGACAATTTTTTTTATTTGTTTTTAATATAGTAACCAAGAAACTGGTTAACACTTTTACCAGATGTATGAGTTGACAACTGAACTCATTTCAAGCTCAGAAGGGCCTAAAAAAGAATCAAGATCGATGTATAAACACGTCTGTAGCTGGTTTTTGAACATATTTATTCGTCCATATCTGCAAAAGACACTTTCGGTAAAAACATATATACACACGTCTACACCTGTGAACGAGTTAACAGTTTCATGATCATGCTAAAAAGATCATCTGCCAGGAAAGGAAGAAATGGTTTATTGCTGATATTTTATTGGAAATGGTCCACTGTCTTTCAAAACAAAAAAAAAAAAATCTGCAATTTCACTGGAAATGAAATTGTTTGATAGAATGCAGAAAAGGACTTGGTCAGGACATTTTTTTGTTTTTGATGTGAAGTCAAAGTTTAGCACTGGTCAGTTGCAAAGCTTGTCTTCGTCCCATGTTATTCTCAGTGATGAGTTATATAGGCTTTCTCTTGCACTTATGCAAATTAGGCATATTAATTTGCCAGTATCACTACATCTCCCTGAAACGTATAAGTTTTATACCTCTAGTAGTTCTTGTACTTCTTCTCGTGATAGTTTCATTACTTTGCTCTACTTTTCTCTCTCTCCCATATTTCTTTTTCTGGGAGACCTAGATCTGTCCCGTGCTAAGCTGTAATCATAGGCATCTTCTTCCATTATTTGATCTTCGTCCAAACTTTCAAACTCATTCTGGCCCACTTGATCCTGCATTATTTCATCTTCTGATGTTTCATTCTGTAACGATTGTTCTAATAAATCATTAACAGATGGAATCGTAGACATTTCTTCATCATTTTGCTTTTCATATTCACCCTGGGTCCTTATTTGATCTGAATGGGCTAATACACTGTTTCTCTATTTATTATAGCTGTAATGTGGCCTTTTTGCATGATAAATTCTGCCCTTTCCGGCTTTGCTTCTTTGTTCTTTTTGTACCACATTTTTTTCATTTGTGGAATATGACATTGTTAGCAGAGCTCTAATTTGTCTTCCCATTAAAGCTGATGGGCTTTCTAGTCTTCCAGCGTGTGGTATTGTGCGATAGCTTAAAAGCAGCCTCGGTAGAAAAACTTCTACCTTTTCTTTTTGCTGAGAGCATGCTTTTAGTCCCATTTTTACAGTCTGCACCATTCTTTCCGCTAACCCATTCAACTGAGGGTGATATGGGGGTGTCTTATATGGTTTACATCCTATTTTTTCTAACCATAAATTAAGATCTTCATCACAAAATTCTGGTGTGTTGTCAGATACCAGGGTTTTTGGTATGCCGTTTCTGGAAAATATGACCCTTAGAATCTGTTTTATCGTAGAACTTTTCTTGTCTGACACCCAGATTATTTCAGGCCAGCCTGAAAAAGAGTCTACTAAAATTAATAAGAGTCTCACTCCAGTAATATACGCATGATCCATATGCACCCGACTCCATGGCTCCACTTTTCTGGGCCACAAATATAAAGTAGTCTGTGTAAAGTTTCTTAATTCTTTACATTTTTTGCACCTTTTTATATATTCTTCAACATCTCTTGAATATCTCGGCCACCATGCTTCTAATTTTATCCTTTTTTGTGTGGCCACTACTCCACAGTGTATATCATCATGTACACTTTTTATTACCAATTTTCTTTGTGTTTCTGGGGGAACTACCAGATCCCCATTACAAATCACTCCATGTTCTATCGTTAATTTCTGTCTTATTTCTTTGTAGGGTCTTTCCACCCTAGAACAATTTCCCCATAAGTTTTTTCTTATTCTCGATATTATCCTACTTAGTACTGGATCATGTCTAGTTTCTGCAGCCATTCTATCTAAAGACAAAACATCAGTCTCTACCCAATGTAAGAATGCGTCTTCAAATTCTTCTTCTGTTTTATCTTTTGACTCCTTGTAAAATCGCAATCTTGATAGTGCATCTATGTGTGGAATTGAATTTCCATTGACATATTCTATTTCAAACTCAAATGCCATTAATCTTATTGCCCATCTTAGTATTCTCGATGTCGTGACTTTGGGTAATTCTTTCCTTGGGTTAAATATAAACTCTAATGGTCTATGATCACTTCTTAACAGAAATTTTTTCCCAATTAAAAATTGTCGGGCTCTAGTAGTTGTCCAGACAATAGCCAATGCTTCTTTCTCTATATTTGAATAATTAAATTCGGTGTTTGTTAGTCTTCTTGATAAATACATTATCGGATGTCCTTCTTGTGATAATATTCCTGATATCAAATGTTTGCTTGCATCTATGGTTAATGTTATGTCCTTTTTTGGATCAAACATTTTCACTACTGGTTTCTTTGCCATAATTACTTTTAATCTATCAAAAGCTTTTTGCTGTTCCTCTGACCAAATAAATTCAACATTC